GACTGAGCCATCCAGGCGCCCCTGCTATGAACATTCTTCCATAAGTCTTTTTATGGACACATCTTTTCACTTCCGTTGGAGTGGAACTGCTAGGTCATAAGATCTGACACCTGATCTTTTCAAAAGCGGTCGTACCATTTTACATGCTTACCAGCAGCAGATGAAAGTTTAGATTGTTTCACATCTTTGCCAACATTTAATATTTTATTTTAATATTACTTCTTAATATCAGTAAACTTTTTTCCTGAGTTTGGCTTTATTTGATTCATTTTTAAACTCATTTTGCACATTGTAAATTTGCTCCCCGACACCCCCCCACCCCCAAAATAATCTTAAAAAAGTAGCTTTGGTGAGATGTGAAACTCCTTATATTAAAAAATGGGAACTTGGCAATTTTTATTTTTGAAGAAATTGTTTTTTAATTTTTTTTTTTTTTTTAATTTGAGGGAAAGCAGAGAGGGAGAAGCAGACTCCCTGCTAAGCAGAAAGCTTGATGCGGGGCTGCATCCCAGGACCCTGGGATCATGATCCAAGCTGAAGGCAGATGCCCAACCAACTGAGCCACCCAGGTGCCCCTGAAGAAATTTTTTTTTTTAGGCAGATGCCCAACCAACTGAGCCACCCAGGTGCCCCTGAAGAAATTTTTTTTTTTTAAATAATTTTTTTATTGTTATGTTAACCACCATACATTACATCATTAGTTTTTGATGCAGTGTTCCATGATTCCCCCTGAAGAAATTTTTTAGAAAATTTTTCTTCTTGCAAAATATTTAACTTTGATCATATTATAGTGTGTGCTCCCTTGGCATTTATGATGATGTACATAAGATATTGCATTGTTCAAAACTGCATTTAGAAATGGGTTTTTGTTTTCCAATTTCAGTAGGAAAATCAGTTCAAAATAAGAGTTTGTGAATGATTTAATGGATAAAATAAGCAGTTGGAGAAAAATCTGTTTTTCACATAGCTTACTGATACATTAGTTCTAATGTCTACCTCCTAAGTTCATTGAAATTCACAAGAGAAATGTTTCTGTGTCTCACTGTTCACCTTTTGGACTTTTTCTTTTTCTAGAACATAAAAGTAATATTTAATGTATCTACTTCACATGACTACATAGTAAAATATAATTTTTAGGATTTAAAATTTACTTTTTCTGTTAATTACTAACTGACTTCTACTTCCAGGGTTGTTTTGTTTTTTTTTTAACTATCATTTTCTTTATTAAAAAGATATCTTTTATTTTTTGTTCAAAATGCAGAGTAGTTTTAAGTAGAGCTATATTTAAGATTTCATTTACAGTCAGACACACCATAAATGGACATTGTGTTTTGGTGTACTTATTTCAAATGAAAGATGCCACTGTGAAAACATTTTATGACTTTTTTGGTTTTTTTGGTTAGCTTTTCCTTGGGTTAACAATGAAATAAGTAATTATAGATTTTTAAATACAGATACAGCTATAAGGGGAGAGAAAGGAAAGAGACAATATTGTGCTGATTTTGAAAAAGTATAGTCTCTTCAACAAATGGTATTGGGAAATAGGATATCCATATGCAAAAAAGGAAATTAGACCCTTACCTTGCATTGTACACAAAAATCAAAATGAATTAATGACTTAAATATAATACCTGAAACTAAAAAACTCCTTACAAAACAGGGGGATACTTCCTGATCTTAGTCTTGGTAATGATCTCGATTGACACCAGAAGCACAGGCAGCAAAGCAAAAATAGACATATTCATCGACTTGTACATGTTAAATATGTACAGCTCTTTGTATATCACTTACATCTCAATAAAGCTATTAATAAATCAACATACTGTCCAGCAATTGTGTATATATCTGATGATCACTGATTGCCTTATTATACACAAATTATGGTATCAGATCTGCAGAATACAAAAATCAATTTAATTGCAAAGTAAATAATGAGCTTTAGGGGGCTATAACTAAAGGAAGAAAATTCCGTTAGAAGGGTTTTTTAGTAATCTAGTTACTACTTGGTAATCTATGCTTAGACTCCTGGTTGTATCTTCTGTCACCTGGGGTGGGGGTGGGGAACCTAGGAGGGGAAGATTTCTCTGGGAAGATAATGAGATCAGTGTGGAGCAATAGGAATATGATACGTCTGTTAGCCATATAGAGATCATCTGTGTAGTGATAGCTGAGCAGTTCTGGAGTTCTCTATCTGGCCTAAAGAAATTTGGGAATCATAGGTAGAAATTTGGGATCATAGAGAAGATGCTTACTGAATCTTGGAGTGGTAAATACACCCATGGAAAGTATTTTAGTTTACTCTGTGTAAACATATCTATGGATTATTGGGAAATAGGATATTTCCCATATTTAATATAAAACTAAATTAAACAATGTTAATTGCAAGCCATGATAAAGAACTGTGGTTTTAATCACTAACATAAAACATAATTTGCAAGCTACCTATAAATAACAGTAGCCTTAATAAATAAAATGATGCAGGTCATAAATGATTACTTTTATATCAGGTAGTTGACTTCAGTTTACTTAAATTTTGGAATTTGTGTTGCTATCATTAAATGCTGGTATTACAAAGGAAAAATACCACTTTGAGAACTGCCATTTACATTGTTTTGTTGTAAGCCAGGAAGTTAAGTTATAGTATCCGGTTTGCCAAATACAAATATCACCCTAATTGGAATATAAATAATGGGCTTCAGGGAAGTATGACTAGAGGGGAAAAATCCAGTTGAAGGTTTTTTTGAATGGTTTTCTGAGGCAGACTGATGTTCAGTTTTACATTTTAGATAGGGTATTTTTCAGTAAGTCAGTGATGGCATGTCTGGATGTGTAAGCAAGAACAAGGGTTATTTTAATAGTACATAATAATACTAGGGTAAATAGAGTTACCAAGAAATATGTTAAAAATAAGAACAGGTCTTTAGTTATTGAATGTATTAGGTGTAAAAAAAAAAAATCACAGCTGATTTCTTGTGTGGGTATCTAAAGAATGGTGGCACATTTAATGAAAGAGGAAATAAAGTGCAGCCCATAGTAAAAACAAAACAAAACTTGGGAGTTTGGTTTCTGATTTCTGGATTTTGGCATCTAAATTTATAGATAAGTGTGGCATAACATAGAGAACAGGTATTCTACCTTCAAGCTTTTGTTCCTACTCTTACCTCCCCGCCTTTTATTGAAGGTTGCAGAGTTGAACTTTTGCAGAGTGAACTTTTCACAACCTTTGTGAAACTGAGCCATGACTTCATCTAGCTGTAAACCCTGACTGAAGTGATGAGATGAAATGGGTTTTCCTTAAGCACATATAAGTACAAAATATAGCTTTAAGGAAGTATTTTCTTTTCACGTTACTCAGGGTATACTGTATTCTTGCATTGTTGGCTTGTATCAGTTATTTGGGATAAATACATTTGTGATATTTTCAGTGGTTTTTTAAAATATGTTTTGCTTATTTGAAACAAGATCCTTAATTCTTCTTTTAAGCTTTTAGTTTTGATTGCTTTTATTATAAAAATATTTAGTAAATAGTGGTAACCTTTAAACATACTACTTTATAAGAAACTGTTGACTTTGAAAGTAATTATAAATTGATTTTTAAAATCAGTTATGGTAGGGGTGACTGGGTGGCTCAGTCGGTTAAGCATCTGCCTTCAGCTCAGGTCATGATCCTGGGGTCCTGGGATCAATCCAGCTTCTCCCTCTCCCTTTGCCCCTCCCCCTGCTCGTGCTCGCTCGCTCGCTCTCTTCCTCTCAAATAAATAAATAAAATCTTTAAAAAAATATCAGTAATGGCTTTAGTTCTTATTAGTGAAAATATATTTGTTAATTCCCATAAAAGATTAATATCTGAAATACTGAATTCAGACATTGGCTAAAAGTTTAACATTAGAAGAAACCTTATTTGTAATTTGTTTGAATTCTTAGAAATGTGTAAAACCTAGTCAGTGTTACATTACATATTTGAAAGTTGGGAAGAATAAATCTTAAACATTCTCATCACAAGGGCAGAAAATTTTTTTTGTAAATTTGTATGGTGACAGATAACTAGATTTACTGTGATTGTTTCACAGTGTATACAAATAATAAATTAGGTTGTACACCTGAGACTAATAGAATGTATGTCGATTTTCCCTCAAGAAAAAAAAAGAGTAGAACCTCATAGAATCTACAGATGTCTTCCTATTAATGAATGGTCTCTATTAAAATCCTGTGCTTCTGGATTTATATCAGTATTTGTCAGTACTAGATATTCCACATGGTGCCTGTGTGTGTGAAAAGACATTTTCAGGGTTGATATATGTAAAATTTCATTACAGGCATTAACAGATAAACATTTGCAATTGGTTTTGATAAAGGGGAACACTAACTTTCAGCCCCAATTAAACATCGTTCCCCATCCATCAAAAGATGCATTATTCTCATTAATAGATCTATATTACAGAAAATGTACTCCCATTATTTGAATTTAATAAATAAAAACTTTGTGGGAAAATATGTGTAGAACCTTTTTATACTCTTTGCCTAAATAAGTGTAAAGTTAATAATGTTTAAGAGTAATTTAATTAAATTACAAATAGTGCTGCATTTAACTTGATAACTGTATACTAGATAACTTGATAACTTTCATACTAAAATTGTATAGACACTATGCTCAATACATATATAGTATAGTCATTAATAAAGTACATACTTGTCATCTTGTATCAGTAATTACTATTCTGTAAATATAGTACAGAATCCATCATAATAAAAATAAATATGGTCTTTAAAAAACAATTTCTGGTAAGATGCACAGTCCCAATGACAATCAAAAAATTCTGTCAATGCTAATGGAGGTGAAGAGAGATGAAGCAGGGAGAGTTGACTCTTGTTTACTAGAGTATTTTCAGCTGAAATGAAACAGCTTAAAATTTCTAAATTGAATTGTATTTTAAGTGAAAGATTATCTGCTGTTGATAAGAGCGTTTCGCAACTTATGCAGCTTTTTCTGTCTTTCACAGAGCTCCTTAATAAGCATTTACGGTCAGTTTTTGGCAGCATTAGAATCACTGAAGGCATTCTGGGATGTTATGGATGAAATCGATGAGAAGACTTGGGTACTTGAGCCAGAAAAACCTACCCGGAGTGCAACAGCACGCAGAATTGCCCTAGGTACATAAAAAGGATTAAGAAGACTTGCGTGTGTGTGTGTGTGTGTGTGTGTGTGTGTGTGTGTGTACTTTGTATAAATTAGGAAAATGGATCTAAAGAGGACATTGGACTCTCAGGTGAGACTTTTTTTTTTTTTTGCTTGAAGTCAACTATTAAAACTTTGGCATGAACTGTGATTTATTACTATGTATTTGAATAAATATTTCAGGAGAAAAGGGCAAATACTGAGGTGTTTCATTATAAAAGGTGATGATCAATGGAAGTATCATTCAGAGACACTGTTTAATTAACTTTTAATTAGAAATAGTGGAACAGGCTTTTCAAGACTTACATTACTTAGGGAAAAAATTATAATAATGCAGTCTTCATCTATGAGACTAGACAAGATTAATGTGAACAGATCTGGGAATATTTTCTGACAAAATTTAGAGGATAAAGGAAGCTGAAGTGAGCCATGCATGCCATTGAAGAGTAATCAGAAAGCACAGAATAATAATTAAACATATTTTAGGTATTTTCTTTACTATAAATATGATATTAATGAATAAGATGTGATATAGATGTAAATATCCCTGTAATATTACCATATTCTCTTTATTATAAAATTATTGCTTTATGTATTTTCATTATGAACAAGCAATATATGTCACTTTTAGAGCTCAGCCTCTCAATATTTTAGATGTTTTAAACTATATTTGAGTTCACAGTAAGTAGTGTAGTTAGGTGATTATAAGATACCTATTTATATCTTTCCTTCTTGTTTTCCTTAGCCCAAATAAATATATTGTTAAAAGGCATATATTCCAAAGGATATTATGAAATTCTGTGGTGAATCATATCCACATTAGCAATTTTTGTAGTTTCTCCCCAGGCATAATAGATTATCTGGGAGAAAAGAAGTAACATGTAATTATGAGAAAGGGAAGGTATCATTGTGCAAGCAGTTCTACAAGTGGTATTGTTACTCAGTCTAAAAAGTCTTTAACGGCATTTAATTTGGAATAATTAACAAATTATGGTGTATTTGTGAATAGATATTAAGAATAAAAATATTTTCTTCAAAGGAGTGTAGTAACTAATTTTCTTCATGATTATTTTGATCAGGTAATGATTAAATACACCTTTTATTATATTTCTCATTCAGCACAGACAACCTGGTTTTTACTCACACTCTCTATATTTACCTTTAGCTCTTTTTTTTTTTTTTTTTGCTTCAGGCGTTGATTTGTCTTTTTAAGACCAAGTTTTCAGCAAATTAATTGAAATACATTAAATAATATATCCACTGTTAAGTGAAAGTACTTTCTGGAGCCATTAGTACATGACATTGCTAAAGGCTAATAGGGAATTTGTGCTCATGGTAAAGAATGTATAAACAAATGAGATTATAAGTTAACTTTTGTATTTTTGTTTTTCTCATGAATGATTTGTAGTCATTTTTTATTTTACTTGATTACCTCTTTTTGTCAGATCTGTTGTAATTGTGTTCATATTGTTGCCAACCTTAGCCAAAAGCTCATGCTATAGTGTATAAAATTTATCAAGCCAGGCGCCTGGGTGGCTCAGTTGGTTAAGCGACTGCCTTCGGCTCAGGTCATGATCCTGGAGTCCCGGGATCGAGTCCCACATCGGGCTCCCTGCTCAGCGGGGAGTCTGCTTCTCCCTCTGACCCTCTTCCCTCTTGTGCTCTCTGTCTCTCATTCTCTCTCTCTCAAATAAATAAAATCTTTAAAAAAAAATTTATCAAGCCATTTTTACTATAAAAAATAATCCAAATAGACCTTACAGTTATACTAATATACCTTCAAAAAATAGTACAATTTCTGAAATTAGTACAATATTCCAGTAGGTAGAATTTATAAAAGAATCTAGTGCCAAATAGAAATAGATTTTCTTAGATTCTATAAACTAGGTTAGTTGCTTTTGTTATTTGAGTGAAGAGTTTCTGATTTAATATGAATTGAATTCATTGTTAACTTATAATGGAACAAAAGAACTCAGAAAATGTTTTTTATTTCTGTATTTTTTAAGTTTTTAAATTCTAGGTGACATACAGTGTGATATTAGTTTCAGGTGTACCATATAGAATTGAACACGTCCATACAACACTGGGTGCTCATCATCCCACCACCTACCTCCCCTCTGGTAACCATCAGTTTGCTCTCTATAGTTATGAGTTTCTTGGTTTCTCTCTCTCTCTTTTTCCCCCCATGCTCATTTGTTTTGTTTCTTAAATTCCAAATATAAGTGAAATCATAATGGTATTTATCTTTCTCTGACTTATTTCACTTAGCATAATACTCTCTAGCTCCAGACACATAGTTGCAAATGGCGAGATTTCATTCTTTTTTTATGGGTGGGTAATATTCCACTGTGTATCTATACCACTACTTCTTTATCCATTCATCAGTCGATGGACACTTGGGCTCTTTCCATAATTTGGGCATTGTAGATAATGCTGCTTTAAATAAACAGGGTGCATGTATCCCTTTGAATTAGTATTTTTGTGTTCATTGGGTAAATACCTAGTAGTGCAATTGCTGGTTCACAGGGTAGTTCTATTTTTTACGTTTTAAGGAACCTCCATACTGTTTTCCAGAGTGGCTGCACTAGTTTGAATTCCCACCAACAGTGCAAGAGGGTTCCCCTTTCTCCACATCCTCACCAACACCTGTTGTTACGTTGTTTTTAGCCATTTGACTGGTGTGAAGTGGTATCGTTGTAGTTTTGATTTCTATTTCCCTGATGAAGAGTGATGTTGAGCATCTTTTTGTGTCTGTTGGCCATCAGTATGTCTTCTTTGCAAAAAAGTCTGTTCATATCTAATGCCCATTTTTCAATTGGATTATGTTTTTTGGGTGTTAAGTTTTACAATTCTTTATACATTTTGGATACTAGCCCTTTATCAGAGATGTCATTTGCAAATAGCTTCTCCCATTCTGTAGGCTGCCTTTTAGTCTTGTTGATTGTTTCTTTCTCTGTGCAGAAGCTCTTTATTTTGATGAAGTCTCAAATTTTGCTTTTGTTTCCCTTGCCTCAGAAGACATATCTAGAAAGAAGTTGCTACGACCAGTGTCACAAAGAGATTACTGCCTGTGTTCTCTTCTAGGATTTTTATGGTTTCAGGTCTCATGCTTAGGTCGTCTTTCAGCCATTTTAAATTTATTTTTGTGTTTGATGTAGGAAAGTGGTTCAGTTTCATTCTTTTGCATGTTTCTGTCCAGTTTTCCCATCACCATTTGTTGAAGACTGTACTTTTCCCAGTGGATATTCCTTCCTGCTTTGTCAAAGATTAGTTGACCAGATAGTTGTAGGTTTATTTCTGGATGTTCTATTCTGTTCCATTGATCTGTGTATCTGTTTTTGTGCCAGTACCATACTGTTTTGATCACCACAGCTTTGTAATATAATTTGAAGTTTGGAATTGTGATGCTTCCAGCTTTGCTTTTCTTTTTCAAGGTTGCTTTGGCTATTCAGGGTCTTTTGTGATTCCATACAAATTTTAGGATTGTTTGTTTTAGTTCTGTGAAAAATTCTGTTGGTGTTTTGATAGGGATTGCATTAAATGTATAGATTGCTTTGGATAGTATAGACATTTTAACAGTATTTGTTCTTCCAATCCATGAGCATGGAACGTCTTTCCATTTCTTTGTGTCATCTTCAGTTTTTTTGATCACTATAGTTTTCAGAGTACAGGCTTTCAGTTGGTTAGGTTTATTCCTAGGTATCTTACAGTTTTTAGTACAATTGTAAATGGGATCGATTCCTTAATTTCTCTTTCTGCTGATTCATTATTGGCATATAGAAATGCAGCAGATTTCTGTACATTGATTTTGTATCCTGCAACTTTACTGAATTCATTTATCAGTTCCAGCAGTTTTTTGATGGAGTCTTCTGGGTTTTCTATATAGAGTATCATGTCATCTGCAGAGAGTGAAAGTTGGGCCTCTTCCTTGCTAATTTGGAGGCCTTTTATTTCTTTTCATTGTGTGATCACTGTGGCTAGAATTCACCTGTGAAGCCATCTAGCCGTGGACTTTTGTTTCCTGGGAGTTTTTGGATTACTGATTCAGTTTCTTTGCTTGTTATCAGTCTGTCCAAGTTTTCTATTTCTTCCTGATCCACTTTGATAGTTTATATGTTTCTAGGAATTTATCCATTTCTTCCAGGTTGTTCCAATTTGTTGGCCTATAGTTTTTCATAATGTTCTCTTATAATTGTCTGTATTTCTTTGGTGTTTGTTGTTACTTCTCCTCTTTTGTTTGTGATTTTATTTGTTTGGGTCCTTTCTGTTTTCTTTTTGATAAGTCTGGCTAGAGGTTTATTGATTTTATTTTTTCAAACAACCAGCACCTGGTTTCATTGATCTGTTGTGTTGTTTTTTTTTTTGGTTACTGTATCATTTATTTCTGTCTTAGTCTTTATTATTTCCTTCCTTCTGCTGACTTTAGGCTTCATTTATTATTTTTTTAGCTCCTTTTGGTGTAAGGTTAGGTTGTTGGAGATTTTAGATTTGTCTTGCTTCTTGAGGTAGCCCTGTATTGCTATTATATATTTCCCTCTTAGGACCACTTTTCCTACATTCCCCATGGTTCTGGACTGTTGTGTTTTCATTTTCATGTGTTTCCACATATTTTTAAGTTTCTTCCTTCATTTCCTGGTTGACCCATTCATTGTTTAGTAGGATGATGTTTAATCTCCATTTATTTGTGGTCTTTCCAAATTTTTTCTCATGGGTTGACTTTAAGTTTCATAACATTGACTAAAAAAGGAGAGTGATATGATTTCAATCTTTTTGTATTTGTTGAGGCCTGTTTTGTGACCTAATATGTGATCTGTTCTGTAGAATGTCCCATGTACACTTGAATGTGTATTCTGCTGTTTTTGGATGGAATATTCTGAATATATCTGTTAAGTCCATCTGGTCCAGTGTGTCATTCACAGCCATTGTTTCCTTGTTGATCTTCTGCTTAGATGATCTGTCCATTGATATAATAGGGTGTTAAAGCCCCCTACTATTTTGTGTTATTATCAATTAGTTCTTACGCTTGTTATTGTTTTATATATTTGGGTGCTTCTACGTTGGGTGCATAAGTATTTGCAATTGCTAGATGTTCTTGTTGGATTGTGCCCTTTATTATGATATAATGCCCTTTTTCATCTCTTGTTACAGTTTTGGTTTAAAGTCTAGTTTGTCCATAGTTAAAAACAGAGCTATCCTATGACCCAGGAATTGCACTACTGGGTATTTATCCAAAGGATACAAACATACTGATTTGAAGGGGCACTTGCACCCCATTGTTTATAGCAGCAGTGTCCACAATAGCCAAAATATGGAAAGAACCCAGATGTGTCCATCAACAGATGGATAAGAAGATGTGGTGTGTATCTATACAGTGGAATATTAGCCATCAGAAAATGAAATCTTACCATTTGCAACGATGTGGATGGAACTAGAGGGTATTATGCTAAGTGAAATAAATCAGAGAAAGACAATTATCATATTTCACTCATATGTGGAATTTAAGAAACAAAACATGATCATAGAGGGAGAGAAAAATAAAATAAGATGAAATCAGAGAGGGAGACAAACCATAAGAGACTCTTAATCATAGGAAACAAACTAAGGGTTGCTGGAGGGGAGGTGGGTGAGGGGATGGGGTATTTGGGTGATGGGCATTAAGGAGAGCACTTGGTGTTATATGCAACTGATGAATTATTAAACTCTACCTCTGAAACTAGTAATACACTATATAGTAATTGAATCTAAAAAATATAAAGTCTAGTTTGTCCGATATAAGTAGGGCTACTCCATCTTTCAACACCCATGTGTGTGATTGTTTCTCCACCCCCTCCCTTTCAATCTGCAGGTGTTGTTAGGTGTAAAATGAGTCTCTTGTAGGCAGCATATAGATGGGTCTTGTTTTTTTTTTTTTATCCATTCTGACACCCTATGTCGTTGGAGAATTTAGTCCATTTACATTGAAAGTGATTATTGATAGAAAATGTTTTGATAAAACTTCATAAAAATCATAAACATGTTTTTTACCATTTATTGTATTTCTCGTCTTTTAATTTCTGACCACAGTTCTGCTTTTCAAGGAGGTCATGGAAGTCATTTAGATAACTATTTCTTAATCTTGTGATTTCTTTTGAAGATCTTTATCACTCTATAGATAATTTTTATTTACAATATAACAGAATTCTGACCAGAATTCTAGTATAAATTAATTATAGTAACTCAATGGATTGACTATGTATTTTGAAACTTTGGATGGATCCCCAAATCTTTAGTCATAATAACTTCAAAATTTATTTCTTTTAGACTATAAAATACTAATATGCTTATTAAAAAACTATAAAACATTGGCTAATCTTTCCTTTGGTACACTAAGTACCCAGATAGATACCCCTTTATTTCTTGTTTGATGAACTTTTCTACTTCTGTAAACTTCAATATTCTTTTATTCTAGGAAATAATGCTTCAATAAATATAAACGTTGACCCCAGGCATCCTACTATGCTTCCTGAGTGCTGCTTTCTTGGAGCAGACCATGGTATGAGATCTTATATTTAAATGTTTTTAACAGACTCATAAAATTCTTATCTTGCACTGTTAAAATATTCTGAAATATTAATATATTGATAATCATTTTAAATGAAAATATCTCATCATTCTGAACTGTGTACTTTTGCGGTTTTTAAAAAAATATGATTTAGATTTTCCAGTCAAGTAATTAGCAAATTCTGTATTTAATAATATTTATATTTGTAAGTTGCTAAGAGAGTAGATCTTAAAAGTTCTCATCAAAAAAACATTTGTAACTGTAAGTGGTGATGGATGTTAACTAACTAGTAGTGAGTGTACTGCAATAAAAACATATACCAAATTATTATGTTGTGCACCGAAAACTAATACAATGTTATATGCCAGTTTTATCTCAGTAAAAAAAAAATTTGTGCTAAATATCTTTACAAAGTGAGAGCAGCAGATGCTAAATTATTAATTTTTTTTTTTTTTAATATCTGAAGTGGTAAAACCTCTGGGAATTAAGCTGAGCAGAAACATACATTTGTGGTAGGTACCTTTGCAACACAATTGTTATTTTTCTGTTTTGCAAATTTAACAACAAATTTTTTTTTCATGCTTTCAGGGATCCAGAAAATAGTCTGTTACAAAACTTGAAAGATGTTTTAGAAATAGATTTTCCAGCTCGTGCTAACCTGGAAAAATCTGTAAGTTTTATTAGTGCTTTGATATTCCAAACAGCATAGCATAATGAAAATTAAATGTTCCTCTTTTAGACACCAGAGAAAAATGAGGCTGAAAGGGAGGGAGTTGGAAGAATATTATAACAGACTTCTGAACTGCAAGCAACAGTAGCATCAAAGAACTTGTTAACCTTTGATTAGTGGTTTAAGTATACTTTTTTCATGGTCTTCGTAGCAATAAAGTGATTAATGACAGACATCTTTATTATTAAAAATAGGGGGAAAGGTCCAAAGTAGCTAATGAGATGTTTGGATATTCTATTAGTATCTACTTATGGATGATTGAAATAAAGTTTTAATTAGCTTGATGTATTTGTGAAAAGTGGCAGTACAGTTTTTAAAAATGAATAGACATTACTATGTTGCAAAAATAATAAACTTAGAATTGATTTTTGATTAAGCAGCCGAGGTTGTAGACTGTCAAAGTGGTGGGGATGTTTTTGGCTTATTCCTTTAGTTACAGAATTTTGAAATTTAGTAATCACTAGCTAATGTCAGTTCTTCTCTTTACCTACTACAGTGGCATTATATTGATGTACAATATGGGAAAATTAAGCCCAAAATAGAATCTGTTTTGACTATATCTGTGTGCATTACTTACTGTATGAAAAAAAGGAAGCTTCTTACAAATAGCTTTTTTTAAAGTGTTAGTGATATAACTGTATTTTCTGTAATATTGTGATATAGCTACCTTTATAAAAACTTTATAAAAAGTTAATATTACCTATATATTATTCATTCTTATGTTACCTTGTGGTGTTTTAAACACATCTGCTTATAAATATTTTCTTTTGAAGGATTTTTCTATGGATTGTGGGATTTGTTATGCCTATCAACTTGATGGCGCCATTCCTGATCAAGTGTGTGATAATTCCCATTGTGGACAGCCTTTCCATCAAATATGCTTATATGAGGTAGAAATAAAATAAAAATAACCGTGGCAAGACTTTTTTGGCTACCATGACCTAGGAAGTATGCATATTTGAATCTAAAATCTGTTTGGTGAATGGTGATCTCTTTGGCTATTAGCCCCTTTACCAGTTCATTTCCAGATGCCCATGTGCTTTCATTTCTTCATCTTGGTTACTAATAAGTGAGGAAATGTCCTAAAGTATCCCAAGAAGGGAGAAAATGTATCCAGAATATATTCATGGACTGCTTATTGGTGCTAACAAATCAAATCGATGGTACCTTGGACTCTTTAATTATCTCCTGTAACCCAATGCAAACTCTGTAGACTGATCCAAGTGGGGGTAGTGGTGGCAGTAAGGTGGAAGGGTAGCGCTATGGAGGTACCTGTTACTTTTCAGAGTAGACTTAAGTACAGAATAAATGTAATAAACTTTTGATATTGAGAAGAATGCATTTTATGATTAAGTATGTCATAGCACTCTCAATGACATTTTATTTACTATTTATTTACTATATGCGAAGTCTGCTTTCATTACTGTGTAGTCACTTGATCTCTACAGAAGTGCATAGTTGGCATGATTAACTATATATGCATGTATATACAGAACACCTTCCAGTTCTGTAGTGCTTTCCGTCTTCCTTAATATCACCTCCCGTTTTTGTGCTTAGACATAGCAGTTGGTGTTATCTGCACTTTAACAATGGAGAACTTAGAGATGTCAATTTACCTTATATAAAACCATAAAGTACCAGGTCTAATTATAGAGATATTCTTAAGGGAACATGTGCTTTCTTTTGTAATGAATATTCATTTAATTTTTAAAAATGGATTGCCTCATACTTCTAATTAATGGATTGAGAATTAACCCACTATTGGTGATTAAGACCAGAATTAAGACCTAGATTTTCAAGAGCCTATTGGATCTTTTACAGCAGGAGTTCTTAATTTGTAATTAATGATTTTAGGTGGGGTCTATGAACCCCATGGACGTGGTGTGCATTATTTTTGTGTCTTTAGGGGTTGAGAAGGTGCATAAAGGGGGCATAAACCAGTGGTATAGACCTCGACATCCATGCTGGTCTCCCCTTGTTATTCAGCATATTACCAGTCTGGTATTGGCTCAGGAAATGTTCCCCTTTTTGTTAAAAGAAAATTAAGAAGGTAAATCTTTGGGAATAAAAATATATGTACTCAAAGGAAATATTTGGAGAATCTGTAATTCGTAATCATGCTGACACTGCTCCCTTTATCTTTTTTTAAAATCTTCAGTGGTTGAGAGGACTACTGACTAGTAGACAGAGTTTTAACATCATATTTGGTGAATGCCCATATTGTAGCAAGGTAAGAAAATCATGAATCACATTTCATAAAATGTGCCTCGCTTTCTTTTAGTAACATGTTCTGGAAGATAAGCTGATACATACATTATCTATCTAAATAAAACATTATTATTCTATGTATTAAAATTGTCCCTATCAATCAGTAACATTGTTTTTTAAATTGCTCCTTTGGAAAATACTTTTTTTTGGTCAAACTATATCATGACCCCATTTTTTAGCATAAAGCAATCTTAATTTTAGAATGTCCACAAACTTACTTTGTTGAAATGTATTCTTTTTTTTTACAAGCCAATTACCTTGAAAATGTCTGGAAGGAAATCCTGAAATAATGTAACATTTCTGTGAAGAACTGGCAACTTGAAAAATTATCAAAAGGATTTTATTTGATATCTTCATAGAAAATATAAAGCAAGACATACTAAAGTCAAAAGAAAAAGAACGATGAAGCCATAATAATACATGTCTGCCTTTGTCTCTTCAAAGTCTGTGACCTCCATACCAGCTGTAGAAGTAGATGTATCCCAAGATGAAGATCTTGAATTATTAAATATATCTAGACTGGTAGAATCTTGATAGGGTTCATAAAATGAATTTGGGAAATATATACAGCTGGACTGTTGTGGAGAACTTTTTATTTCATTCAGAATTTCTTGAGACTCACAATACTTTTGTCTTCTCCTTGTGCTTTCCTATAGAAAAAAATATATATTGTTAGGTTTGAATTATCCTAGTATTTATTTTGTGTAGTCTGTAAGAATACTAAATAAAACGTTGTTACAGAAAAAGAAATTTTTGTATATTTTTCCTGAGAAGTTTAGGTCCTGGATCCTACATGGTAAGAGTTTACAAAGTACTTACCTACCACATTAACCAACCGAAATCTAGTCCTTTTAAATCAGGAAATAGGCTATCTTTTATCCTCTAAAAATGATGAAATATGAAAACTGAATTTTCTTGGCAAGACAAAAAACTAGGCTTAATCTTACATGGGCAAGACAGTCATAATTAGAAAGCTTTTTGGTTATTAATAATTAGTGATTCTAAGGGAGCCAAGGCAGAGAACAAGATGGTGGGGGCAGTGCTGCATGTCCTCAGAGCAGTCTCAGTCAGCAGTCTGCTGCCCAGAATCCAAAGAATGATGTCTTCCAATAACAGACCTTGAGAAGACAGCTGGTTAAAATCCTTATTTGTCCTGAAACTTGATCCAAGAAAAGATGCTCATTCTAGTCTCCTGGCCAAAAAGGAAACAAGCAGGCTCTACAAATTATAGTTTTACAGCGTTAAGCTGAAATGCCTAGAAGCACACAACAAAATTTGTCAAGAGATGTTGCCAGAGATTCATGAAGATAAACATTAACCTTGTACTTTGGTAGGGACTTGGAACACACTGTATAGCAAGCAGGATCAAGCTGCTTACCTGTGGAAGTATGAAGGAGAGTATCTTCATAATGAATAAACTCAGAAAAAATCAGGTATTTGTAGAATTCCATAAGGCAACTATTTCTTAGGAAGAATCAGCACCTGACCCGTGGCGAGGACCTAATATATGTGAACTCAGATCTTAGCAACTCCAGTCAGGAACTGTGATTGCATAGGGCAATTACTATTTAGCAAAAAACAAAACAAAACAAAAAACCCATTTTTCTCCAAACTGATCTATAGGACTGAACACAGTCTCAGTCAAAATCCTAGCAGGCTTTGGAAATGCAAAGGACCAAAAATAGCTAAAACAACCTTGATGAAGAACAGAGTTGAAAGACACACTTTTCCATTTCAAAACTGACCACAAAGCTAGAGAAATCAAGACCGTATGGTCATGGCATAAGGACAGGCATACAGATCAGTGGAATAGAATTGAAAGTCCAGAAGTAAACTCTCACATATATGAGCCATTGGTTTCCAACAAATGTACCAAGGCAATTCAGTGGGGACAGATCATCTTCGACAAAGGTGTGGAGACAACTGGACATCCTTGAAAAAAGATAAAAATAGACCCCTACCTCATTTTATACAAAAATTGTAGACCTAAATATAATAGCTAGAATATAAAAATTTTAGGAAAAAACAGAAAATCTTTGTGTCCTAGGGTTAGGTCAAGAGTTCCCATATATCAAATTCACAACCCACAAAAAAAAAAAAAAAACCCTTTTGTAATTCAAAGGACATTATTTAAAAAAGTCACAGATTGGGAGAAAATTCTACAAATCATTTATCTGATAAAGGACTTGTACCCAGAATATGTAAAGAAAACTTGAATCGACAATTCTCTAAAAGCATATGAAAAGATGCTCAGCATCACAGATTGTAAGAGAAATGCAAATCAAAACCAGAGTGAGATAACATCTTACCCCTTTTAGGATGGCCATTATCAAAGGAACAGAAAATAACCAATGGTGAAGATAGAGAACTTGGAACCCTTGTGTACTCTTGGTAGAACTGCAAAATGGTGCAGTCATTATGGGAAATAGTACAGAAGTTCCTCAAAACGTGAAAAAGTCGAATTATTATATGATCCAGCAATCCTACTTTGGCGTATATATTCAAAAGAATTCAATTAAGTTTCTTGCAGAGATATTTGTACACCCATCATAGCATCATTCACAGTAGCCAAGAGGGAGAAACAACCCAAATATCCATAGGTGGATGAATAAAGAAAATGTGGTATAAACATATAATGGAATATTATGCAGCCTTTAAAAAGGAAATCCTGCCACATGCTACAATATGGATGAACCTTGAGGACATTATGCAGAGCAAAATAAATCAGTCACAAAAAAAATATAATTCCACTAATACAAAATATTTAAAGTAGTTGCAAAATGTAGGGGAGTTGGTATTTAGTGGGTCTAGAGTTTCAATTTTGCAAGATGTAAAGTTCTGGAGATCTGTTGTACAACAGTGTGAATATACTTGGCGGTACTAAACCATACAGTTGAGGTAAGTTTCATGTTACGTGCTTTTTACCACAACAAAAAAAAAGATTTAAAAATAATATAGTGATTCCCAACATTTATCATGACATGGCACCCTTTACCCAATATACATGCCATATACTGGGTAAGGGAAGAGGCTATTTCTAACCAGAGGAAACTGCCCCAGGGTGGATACTGTGGCATGTCTCTTTGAATGCTCCAGGAATAGACCAACCACTACAGACTGAACAGACACTGATACATGCAAGTTCCAGGAATTTCTTAAATGTTTTTTAATGACATTCCTGTTGGCCAAAGCTCCAAGAATCAGTTTCCTGTTTTCAGCTTGTTACAAGTTGTTCTGTTTCTGCTTCACTTTGGTGCCCTGGCCTGCCCTTTCCTTGTACCATTTATCAAGAAACTTGGAAGAGAAGAAATTTATAAACAAGGCAAAATATTTCAATCTTCATCTGATGTAGTACCATCATTCTTCACAAAAGCTACTCTCCTAACCTCTAAACATTCTTCAGAGTCCTTTTTAACCCCACAAAATTCACTTTCAGGATACAGAGTTTTAGAAGGTAAGTAACTTCTACATAAGGTATATAAAACAAAATAGATATCTTAAAAGCACTTCAGCTCTTCTGCCCAGAAGAAACTATTGAGAGTCAACTCTAACTTTACTCTTTACTGCCTGAGAGCTAATAAAGACACACTCACAATTTTACTAAATTTTTGTCAGCTTTAGAGGCACCTGGCTGGCCCAGGACAGAGCATGTGATCTTGATCTCAGCGTCATGAGTTCAAGCCTCACGTAGGCACGGAGCCTACTTTAAAAAAAAAAAAAAGTTTTGTCAGATTTATTTGCTAAAGGCAAAATAAGTGAATAATTATCCTGTGGACCCATAAAGCATTGTTCTTCCATAAAGAAAGAAATACGCCATCAAATTGCATATTTTTTTAGGGCTGAGACCACTGGTAAGCTAACTTAAGTAGCATTTATGTATAACTTACATGTGGAAATGGATGATACCCCATCTATGTAAGAACAGAAATCAAGCTACTAAAATTTCAAGATAGAATCGTCTACTGTATAACCTATGTACCCAGTCTCTCTGTAAGCAACAACAACTAATAGCAAATGGGAAGGCACTCATCTAAGGATTTAACCACCAGTTGTCTTCAGCTTACCGAGTGATCTGCTTGGGAAAGAGTCTGTGGCATGGGTTGTAAAAATGTTGCGAGATGCCTGTTTTGTGAATAAAGACTGGAACACAGCCATGCTTATTTGTTTACGTATTGTCTATGGCTGCTTTTATATTGCAATGGTGGAGTTGAATTGTTCTGACAAAGAGTAGGCTGTAAACCTAAAATATTTACTGTCTGGCTCTTTAAGAAAAGTCTGATCTATGGCATAGTTTTTCAAACATTAGAAGAAGCATACAAATCATTTTGGGATCTTGTTAAAATGCAGATCTCATTCAGAAGGTCTGACGTGAGACCTTAGAGTTTATGTTTCTAAGAAGCTCCAGGTAATGCCAGTGCAGCTGGTTGGCACAACACACTTTTAGTAGCCGGGGCTTAATGTATGCAATAATCTACTCTGCTAGTGTAGTGTAGTGTTTCTCAACCCGTGACAATTTTGCCCCACAGGACATTTAGCAATTTCTGGAGACATTTTGGGTTATATGACTGGGAGGAGGTACTATCGGTATCTACTGGATAAAGGCCAGAGATGTCCTACAGTGTACAGGATAGCTCCCTACCCCAGCTCAATATACCCACAGTGATGCTGTTGAGAAACCTTGAATTCTGAGCAAGTTACTAGCCTTGAATGCATATCAGCATCAGAAAATTATGAAAAATAGCAACACCCCTTTTAGTTCTGGCCATGAATAATGGGCATCAGATCTCCCCTCCTGCTGTGAAAGCCCATGAAATGAATACAGTGTAATAGAGTTGGACAAAATATATGAAGCAACTTACCAGGCATAGAAAACAAACAAGGCTGTGATTCTTGAAGAAAGGAAAACAACCCAGATCTTAGCCTACAATTTCAGATGATATCTACCTTAGAGCAGCCTCTAAAAGACCTAAGCAGAAGTCAGGACACGACTAATCAAGTTGAACCACCAATAAATTAGCTACCTCCCAGGACAAAAGTCAGTACTCTCTAAAAGAATACAATAAAATGTGGAGTTTCAAGAACTGACTAGCATCCACCATATTCAGCATATAATAAAACTTTACTACACACAAGGAATGGGAAAATGTGAAAATAAGAGAAATAGATGTGACCCAGATGGTAAAATTATCAAACAAGGACAATAAAACCTCTACATAAGTATGTTCAAGGACTTAAATGAAAAGTTAAACATAATTAGTGAACAGACTGGGAGACTGAGCAGAGAAATGGAAAATACAAAATGCTTCTAGAATGGAAAAATACAATACATAAAATTAAAAATCCACTGGTTAGGTTTAATAGTCAACTAGAGGCCAGGTAAAGGATCAAACTGAAGCACAGCAAGATAAAAGACTAATCTGAAAAATGAACAGAGCCTCAGAAAAGGCCTGTGAGAAAAGGTAAAGAATTTTAACTTGCATGTATTTGGATCTCAGAAGGAGAAGAGGGATTAAGGCATGAAACAAATCATAGCGGAAACTTTTCCAATTTGATATCAACCCACAGATTAAAAAAAAGCTCAATGAACCCAAAGTAGAATGAATATAAAGATACAACCATCTCTAGAAAACCAAAGATAAAAAAGCAAATATTAAAAGCAGCCAGAAGAGACACATAAAGAATGTCAATAAGAATAACTGCTAACTTATTAGAAAAAAATACAAGAAGATAGGGAACAGC